AGGGTTAATTCATACCATACAGAGGTACCTTTTATAAATTCACCACAAGACTTGCTGACATTCTTCCTTTTCTCCTGTTACAAATGGCAAAGGCTAAGATTATTCTATCTTTAACCATTCTTCATGCCTCAAGAAGGAAAAGAAAACCTATTCCACGCACAATTGCTCTGTAAGCACAGCAGTCACTCAAGTGTTTCAGGCAAGCCATCTCTTCCTGACAGCCACCTCAAGTACACACAAAAACCTGACAGACACAGAAATCCTGCCACATGCTGAAACTATGAATCTCATCTACAAGACTCAACTTTCAGGTAGACACAGAGAACCTGACCACTTAAATTTCTGGGTCAGAAGACCTTTAAATTAATTGAAGGCTTAGGGAAGAATGACTGGAAAGCTGCCCAGTGGAGAAGGACCTGGGGGTGTTGGTTGACAGCCACCTGAACACGAGCCTGCAGTGTGCCCAGGCAGCCAAGAAGACCAATGGCATTCTGGCGTGTACCAGAAATAGTGTGGCCAGCAGGACTAGGGAAGTGATCCTTCCTTTGTAGTCCAATGTCATGATTTAACCTCAGTCAGCAACTAAGCATTATATAGCTGCTTGCTCAAAAGCCCTCAGTGTGATGGGAAAGAGAATCAAAAGAATCAAATTGAGAAAACGTATGCCTTGAGATAAAGACAGTTTAGTAAGATAGAAAAGGAAGAAGATAATAATGATAACGATAAGAAAATAATTATAATATAAAAAACAAGTGATGTATAAGGCAATTACTCACCACTCACTGACGGATAACCAGCCAGTTCCCCAGAAGTGGCACCCAGCCAGATTTGCCCCTAGTTTATATACTGAGTATGACATGATATGATATGAAATATTCCTTTGGTCAGTTGGGGTCAGGTGTCCCAGCTGCTTCTCCTCCCAACATTTTGTGCGCCCCCCAGCCTTCTCACTTCATGTGAGAAGCAGAAAAGTCCTTGACTTAGTATAAACTCTGCTTAGCAACAGCTAAATCATCAACATGCTATCAACATTATTCTCATTTTAAATCCAAAACACAGCACTATGCCAGTTACTAGGAAGATAATTAACTCTACCCCAGCCAAAACCAGGACATCAGCACTGGTGAGGCCACACTTTGAATACTGTGTTCACTTTTGGGCCTCTCACAGTAAGAAAGACATTTAGGTGCTGGAGCAGGTTCAGAGAAGGGCAACAAAGCTAGCGAAGGGTCTGGAGAACACGTCTTATGAGGAACTGCTGAGGGAACAGGGGTTGGTCAGCCTGGAGAAAAGAAGGCTCAGGAGAGACCTTATTGCTCTCTACAAATATCTTTTGGAAATCAAAGTAAAAATTACTGAATATGAGGTCTGGGATTTTGTTTTTGTTTGTTTGGAGGGGTTTGTTTATTCGTTTTTGAAATACAGCTGTGTAAGGTTCTGCAATTAAATCTTTGCATATCTAAATCAAAGTGGCTTCATTTCCACATACACTGTGTGTGAATTAGTGTTCCATACATGACATGAGAAAGCTCAGTTTCCTAATAAAAGCATGTGATCCGGGCGCCCTGGTAAGTATGTAAATACATACCTTTCCAGTATCTTTTTGAATATTCTGGCCTACATCACTAGATGCCCAAAAAAAGGGCAACAAATCTGCCAGCTCACAAAGGTGAGGCAGAAGCATCATACCTAAAAGGCACCAAAACAGTAGCTCTTTCCATGACATCCAAATATTGGCAACCTCCCCAGCTAGAGGGGAAAACAAGGGTGATAGAAGAACATTGCATTGATGCCATACTACTATGGGACAATGATGACAGCTCTCTCTCTGCAAGCAGAAAATACCCCAAGTTACCTGTTACGCTCATAACTTCTGTGATGAGGTGATATCCTTCCTCTGTCATAATCTGTTCGGTGCCGACTGCTTTCCTGCCTCCTCCTATCTGGACTCCGTCCGCGATCCCGACGATCCCCATGGTTAGTGGACCGATGCCTGTCACCATGTATGTGACTGTGCTCACGATGTCTGTGCTCATCGTAGTGTTTGCTCCTGTCTGGAGACCGTCGATCGCTTTGCGACTTCTCTCCCTGGTACTGACCCGTGTGCCGAAAATGAGTGCTGCCACCACTGTTGTTGGTAGTGCTGTTCTGAAAGGAGCCAGAGTTGTGCTGGTAGCTGTTGAAATTTGGTGGTGGGAATGACTGCTGCGAATACCCTGTGGAGTATACAGGCTGGTAGTTGACCTGCTGTGGTATGACTGGTGGAGGGGGAGGATGCGGTACTGTGGGTGGAGGCATCATGTAAGGAAAGGTGTTTTGCCCAGCAGGAGTTCCTGGCACAGGAGTATTGCTAGGATTTGGCACTGGTGGAGGAGCAGGAGGGAAGCACGGAGGCACCGGGAAGCTCTGCCTCATCTGGTGGTTTGGAAATGGTGGCCTCATGGGACACTGGCTGATGGGATTTTGTGTGGAAGGGGGCACTGGAGGAGGATAGGGCACAAAGTCTGGCCTGGGAGGCATGTAACCAGTGGCTGGAGGGTTTGAATAGGTTGTTGGAGGGGCAGTTTGCTGGTCATACTGGTATTGTACGGAGGGCTGCTGTGGGTGAAGCTGCCGTAGGTTCTGAGGGCGGTAGGTCTGTGTTGAAGCTCTTGCTCCTGGTCCCCCCTGACCACGGGGACATCCTCGCCCGGAATGGAAAGACATGGCTCACCTTTAATGAGGAAAATAAAAGTTCAGTGCCACACAATTTTTGTAGAATGTCCTTAATGCATTTGCAAGAACTACTCCAGGGGGGCTGAAATGACAGCTCCTGCCGCTTCCTTTAACAGAAGCGGTGAACAACGTCCACTGATTTTCACTGGGAGCTTTGCGCTACTCAGACCTCTAGTGAAGGTCATACATGTCCCTTTGATTCCTTTAAGCCTCTAAGCCATGAAAGCACCCTACTGTCTTTAATCCAGAACCCAAACTGGAGCATGCTCTATCACTTGGGGCAAAACTAGATGCTTTTGATATAAAGCCTTCAGGCACCCCACACCAAAGAAACCACTCATTTTAACAAATGCTATTGTCACCCAAAGCCCTGAAATAAGGAGTCCTTTCTGGAACAGATTCTACACTTCAGACAGAATGACTTTACTAACACCTCATTGCAAGTTACCTGGTCCAACAAATCTTGTAAAGTTTAAATGAGATAATAGCAATCTACATTCACAATTGAGATCCAATTTAGCAAAGGAGTGAATTCTACAGATATTTCAAAGTATTTTATACTAGGTAGGTATATTTTTGTGGAATGAGAATCTTAGAGGTTACAGAAATAAAAATTATGTAGACTGTGCTGCTACTTCAATTCCACTGAAATACATAGCTCCGAAAAAGTCCCTCAGCTGCCTGTTTGGTCCTGTTACCTTTCCAGCAAGTGCCACTGCTTCAACTAGGCTTAAGTCTTGCTCAAAACTATACATGTCTTTATTGCATTGTATTTATGTTTATAAATGAAAACCACTGTGCTTCATTAAAGTTAAAAGTTAATTTTTTAATTACAATGTTAGGTTTCAAAAATTAAATTAAGAAATCATTCATGGTGTCTTGGCTGGAATGGAGGAAGAGGAAAAAAAAAAAGTTAAGTAGTCACAGAAGTCAAATCCTGTTTTAAGGGGGAGGAAGAGAAGGAGAAAGATCTGGAAAGATCACCAGATAAAGTCTCACTTTTACTGAGGCTTTGCTGATGCTAAAGTGCACATACAGATTATTCTCCTGCCTGCTACCATGCAACACAGCCCAACCAGATTGCTCAGAGCAGTACTTTCAGCTGCATTTCTGTGCCACTGCTGCAAAAGATGGAGCTTGCTGAGAGAGAGCAGACAACTTCTGGAACCAGAGGAAGAAAGGAAAAGAGATGAAGGGGCGAAAGGACTGACATCAAGAAGCAGGAACCAAGAGGACCTACGTCTCTCAGACACACACAGCTCAGTGGAAGCCACTGGAATTGGTGGCAGTGACATTCATTCCCTCTCCAGAACAACCAAAGGCCAAAGTAAGTGAGAATACAAAGTTTTTAGGAGGTAGGAGCCACAATGGTAAAAAGCCACTTGCTCCTTCCAGTCAGTCTGTGCCTTCTCTGTACCTGCAAACCTTGCAAAGGCTCTCAAAAAGAAACAACAAGGGGTAGAGGGGAATGTATTGCCATTATTTTGGCTGGCAACTGTTATTATTAATCCTAATTAAAAACAAACAAACAAACAAACAAAAAAGCTATATGGAATGACTATAAACACCCCAATTATTTTAAAGTTCCCTCCGCTGCAAACTTTGGTCACATCTGGTTTTCAGTTAAATTTAAGGAAATTCAAAAACACTGGAAAGGACAAACACAGGAGAAGAAATGTATTATGATGGTGGAAGCCGCCACACAAAGTAACACAGGTTCCTTATAAAAGGCCTCATCCAACCACTGCCTCCCAGCAGTCTATAACTGCCTCCAACAGCCACCGAAGGATCTAGGTAAACAGAGCGGAGACAAACCCGGAGATGACACCGGCACCCGCCCGGGCTCTGCCTTCCCGCCGCACGGCTCCATTCTCCACACGGAGAAGGCTCCTCACCCGCAGGCCAGCCAGGCAGCCGCCACGCGGTGCGCTGCGGGCAGCGGCCGCCTGGGCCCCGCCACCCTGACCCTCTCCAACACCTAGCAGCCAGCTAGCATCAACACCGCCGCGGGGCCTCCCCCCCAGAACCTTCCCCCCCGCGCTAGCACAAGGGCCCCCGCGCCGCGCGGGGAACCGCGGCACCGCGGGGAAAGAGGAGCCCCGACCCGCCCCCCTCCCCCCTCCCCGCAGGTAGCCAGGCACGCCGAGCCCACCTGGCGCCCCGCCAGCGAGGCCACCGGGCCTGCAGCGCCTCGGCTTCCGGAACAGGAAGGTTGTGGGAGGGGTCTCCAGGCGGAAGTACCACCCGCCGGGAGGGAGGAAAGGAAGGAGGGTGAGAGTGGGGCGTGAAACCTAGGCCTCGCCAAATCCGGCCCGTCGCCGCCGCGACATGAACGGCGGGTGACCGATGGCCGGCAGCGGGGCCGGGCCCCAAGGGGGCTGCCTCCGGGCTTACCCGGCTCTGCCCGTGTGGGTGGTGGAGGACCACCAGGACGTGAGTGCCTGGCGCTTGGCGGTGGGACTGGGCGGCGGAACGAGGCGTCCCTCGGGGGCTGTGTAGGGAGTAACTTCGTTTCTTTCTTTCTTTTCTTTCTGTGCGGCATGGAGGCTTAGTCTGGTAGGTGAAAGCGAAGGGAAGTGTCCGGTGGATTGCTCCCCTGTACTCTGCCAGCAGCCTCTTCCTGCCATGTAGCCAGGTTTTCCCGGCTCGGGACTCTTCTTTAGGAACAAGAACAGTCCCCTCCTCCACAGCCGTGCACAGACCTTAAAACTGCGTTCGCTGTCACTGCTGAAACATAAATGAAGTTCAGTGCCCACCTGACCTGAGTTCCTTCCCGGGTTCAGCTAATTAATCCCATTAAGGGATTTTTTGCATCTTTTTAAGGGATTATTACTGACTTTTTATGTTTTTAATCATTAGTCTTTGGACTGTGATTGCTGTAGTTAAAAGGAAATAATGCCTATATTGAACTGCTCTTAAAATTAGCTGGGCATTAGTGCAGTACTTGGAAACTCAGCTCTTCAGTATGTGACATGTTGACAGCAAATTAGTAAATACAGTCATATCCTAACAAGCAGATTGATTGCTACTTGATGAAAAATTTTAAATTTGAAACTTTTTTAGTTAAGTCATTTAAGAGGGGAGCAAAGAAGGAATTGCTTTTGAACTGCTGTTTTTGTTTCCCCATGTGATTCGTTTATAGGCATACGCTGAGGCCTTAGTCCTAAGTAAGCAGATTCTGAACTAGATTCTTCGCAAACAGAAAATTTCAGTGTAAAAAAACTTTATTAAAGAAATTTAAAATAATGTACTGAATTTGCAAGTAAGTAGCTTAATGCAGATGATTGTTGCTAAGACTTGGCAAAACATATGATGCTGTGATAGCTGATTTTTCATGGTAACCAAGGACTTAAGGAGTGTTACTGTGGCAGGAATACTGAGATAATGACTACTAATGATCCTTCTTTGTTTTACTGTCTACTAATGTTTTCAATTAGCTTCAAGTCTGCTCATACTAAATGTATACACTGTTTTCAGTATAAGTATGTCTGTCTTGCATAAAACATAAATGGCTGTTCATCTCAAACTGTAAGAACTTGACAAAAACTTCATATAGTCACTTGCTGACACTGGTGTTCCTTTTCTCCAAAAGAAATCCCATGGCTGCGTTTGCCTTTACCCGAAGCAGGAATAACCCAGACTGTCTTCCCCAGCCAATGCTTTATGTGCACCACAGGAACTTTATCCCCTTCTACAGTATGTAAAAGTTCTGACTGGGGTGGGCTAGCCCTGTTGGCAGATCCTCTGGTGTTGACTGACCAGGTGGCTTTTGGTAAATGTGTATCCCAGTGTTTGAAAGTTCCCCTACCCATTGCTCTCAGTGTAGTTTTTAACAGCCCATTGTACTGTTCGATTTTCCCGGAGACTGGTGCATGGTAAGGGACATGATATACCCACTCAGTGCCATGCTCTTTGGCCCAAGTGTCTATAAGGTTGTTCCGGAAATGAGTCCTGTTGTCTGACTCAGTTCTTTCTGGGGTCTGTGGTACTGTTTTACCACAAGATGTGTTTCTCGAGGCCCAGCATAATGTTCTGGGCAGTGGCATGAGAGCATAAGTTTCCAGCCATCCAGTGGTTGCTTCCACCATGGTAAGCACATGGCACTTGCCTTGGTGTGTTGGTGGGAGTGTGATATAAGCAAGCTGCCAGGCCTCCCCATATCTGTACTTCAGCCATCCTCCATACTAAAGAGGCTTTAACTGCTTGGCTTGCTTAATTGCAGCACGTTTTGCATTTGTGGATAACCTGGGCAATAGTGTCCATGGTCAAGTCTACCCCTCAATCACAAACCCGTCTGTACATTGCATCTCTGCCTTGATGGCCTGAGGTGTCATGGGCGTGTCAGGCTATATCAAATTTACCTTTATGTTGCCAATCTAAGTCTATATGAGCCACTTCAATCTTAGTAGCTTTATCCACTTGTTGGTTGGTTCTGGTGTTCCTCAGTGGCCCAACTCTTGGGTACATGAGCATCTACATGACGGACCTTCACCACCAGATTCTGCACCCAGGCAGCGATATCTTGCCACAATGCAGCAGCCCAGATGGGTTTACTTCTGAGCTGCCAATTGCTTTGCTTCTGTTGCTGCAACCACCCCACAGGGCATTTACCACCATCCATGAGTCAGTGTAAAGTACTGGCCGTTTTTCTCGTTCAGCAATGTTCAAGGCCAGCTGGATGGCCTCTGTAAAATTACTCGATTCACCCTCTCCTTCAGCAGTGTCTGCAGCTTATTGTAGGGGACTCCATACAGCTGCCTTTCATCTCTGATGCTTTCACACAATATGGCGGGACCCATCAAGCATATTGCTTCTCACTGTCCTGGAGTTTATTGTACAGTGGGGCTTCCTCAGCACGTGTCACTTTTTCCTCTGGTGACATTCCAAAATCTTTGCACTCTGGCCACTCCTTGATGACTTCTACAATGCCTGGATTACTGGGGTTTCATATTCAAGCTCATAGTGTAATTAGTGTAGCCCACTTACTGTATGTAGCATGGGTTGCATGATGTGTAGAGGAGACCCTGCCTTTGAAAAACCAGCCCAGCACAGGTAACTGGGGTGCCAGGAGAAGCTGTGCCGATCACTTCCGAAGCAGCTCGAACCCTTTCATAGGCTGCCAGTATCTCTTTTTCAGTTGGGGTATAGCTGGCCTCAGATCTTCTGTATCCCCCACTCCAAAAGCCGAGGGGTTGACCTCAAGTCTCCCTTGGAGCGTTCAGCCAGAGGCTCCAGGTAGGACCATTCTCTTCAGCTGTGGTGTAGAACACATTTTTCATGTCTTCCCTGCTCCGGAGTGGTCCAAGGGCTACTGCAGGGCCAATCTCTTGTTTAATTTGTTCAAAGGCTTGTTGTTCCTTGGGGCCCCATTTGAAATCATTCTTTTGGGTCACGTGAGGGCTTACAGTCGAACTGTAATTTGGGATGTGCATTCTCTAAAAACCACAGCACCTAAGAAAGCTCGTGTTTTCTTGTTATTAGTTGGTGGAGACATTGCTGTTATCTTGATCACATCTGCATGGAGCTGATGACGTCCATCTTGCCATTTTATTCCTAAAAACTCAATATCCTTTGCAGGTCCCTTCTTGACCTTACTCTGTTTTATGGCAAAACTGACCTTCAGAAGGATTTGGATTATTTTCCTCCCTTTCTCAAAGACTTCTTCCACTGTATCACCCCACACGATAATGTCATCAGTGTATTGCAGGTGTTCTACAGCTTGCCCCTGTTCCAGTGCAGTCTGGATCAGTCCATGGCAGATGGTAGAGCTGTGTTTCCACCTGGGGCAATCGGTTCCAAGTGTACTGGACCCCCCTCCAAGTAAAAGCGAACTGTGGTCTGCACTCTGCTGCCAAAGGAATTGAGAAAAATGCTTTGGCAATATCAATTGCGGCATACCACTTGGCTACCTTTGATTCCAGTTCATATTGAAGTTCTAGCATGTTCAGTATGGCAGCACTCAATGGTGGTGTGACTTCATTCAGGCCACGGTAGTCTACTGGTAGACTCTAGTCTCTGTTAGACTTTTGCACTGGTCATATGGGGTTATTAGATGGTGAGTGGGTTGTGCTGATCACTCCTTTGCTCTCCAATCCAGTATTCACTAGAAGAGGATCCCATCACCTATTTGGCTTCCATGCCCTCTAATTCCAGGCTACTGGTCCTGTTATTCTAACACTGGAGCAGCCAGGTGACAATGTGCTTGCCTGGACAGTGGTTGAAATCTTTTTGTGTATCTTGCAGCTCACTCAGGAATAGAGATCAGGTGGTTACCATTCATTTATGACTTATAACCCTTACTCCTCCCCACGCGTTCACTGTCTATCTTACTCTTTTGATTTTTGTGAAGGTCCTACTTCAGAGAAATCTGCCTTGTCCACTTCCTTCTACTCCCTCTTAGAAGCAGCTCATTCATTCGTTACCACATGGGCTGACTTCTTCCAGTATTTCTTCTTGTGTACAGGGGCAACTGATACTGGCACAGGTTGGTTCTTTGTTTCAGCTGCTGTGTCTGTCTTGGGGTTTGGAGTAGCTGCAGTACTTGTCCTTTTGTTATCAAATCCAGAGACCATCTCTTCTCCTTGAGGGTACTGAAGAGTGTTGAGCAGGGCTCTGTAGGCATGGGCCAGGCCCCAGCACATAGCAGTGATTTTTGTCTCTGGAATTGCTAGGGTAATAGCATCATTTTTTCAAAATGTTTTACTGTTTTTTTCTGGATTCTGCACTGGTTCAGGGGTGAAATTTCAGAACACTAGAGGTGCCCACTGTCCTAGGTACTTGCTCATACTATCCCACACACCCTGCCACTCATAACTGTCCAGTCTCTGGGCAGATCCCTGGGTGGTATTCTTAGATAGCTGTTTAACTGTAAACAAGACCTGAAACACATTTAGGAGACATAGCAATAGGAACGTGCTGGTTTGAATATCCTGAGGATATTAAAAATTGTCAGGAGTGATTGTAATTGGCGTGAGGGAGAAGGAGAAGATGGAGGAAAGTATCTCCCCTGCAGATTGACTCTCCAAGAAAAGGCGGAAGGTGTAATTATTGATAGTACCCAATAGATGGCTCCCGAAGTACGAGATTGTGGCAGTGCTAAGTACAAATACCAGATCAGTCTCAGGACCAGCAATTTAACAGTATCATAAACCAGTGTTACAAAGTGCAACCAAATTATAACCTTGCCACGGCCCCCAGAAGTGATAAAACAGCACACAAAAGGGAACATATGCAGCAATTAAAGTGTTACAGAACACAAATCTGAGAACATTCACAGCAACCCTTGAAAGAAAATAAATTGACATTGTGACCAGTGACCATTAAACTAGTATAATGAATGCTTATAACATTTTTTTTTTTTTTTTACAAGCTTTGGTCACATGTGTCATTATCTCAATGCTTCATATCCCACATTGGGCACCAAAAAGGACTGTCATGATTTAACCTGGCAGGCAGCTAAAAGCCACACAGCTGTTCACTCACTCCCACCCACAGTGGAATGAGAGAGAGAACGGGGAAAAAAAATGTAAAATTTGTGGGTTGAAATAAAGACAGCTTAATAGGACAGAAACTAAGATCAAATAATAATGATAAGAGGATTACAATATATAGGACAAGCAATGTACAATGCAGTTGCTCACTATCTGCCAACTGATGCTTAGCCAGTTCCTGAGCAGTGGCCCCTGACCAGATATTCCCCTAGTTTATATATAGAGCAGGACATCATATGGTATGGGGTATCCCTTTGGTCAGTTGGGGTCAGATGTCCCAGCTGTGTCCCTTCCCAACTTCTTGTGCACTCCCAGCCTTCTCACATGAAGTAAGAAGCAGAAACGTCTTGACAGTGTAAACACTGCTTAGCAACAACTAAAACATCAATGTGTTATCAACATTATTCTCATCCTAAATCTGAAACATAGCAGTCTAATAGCAACTTGGAAGAAGATTAACTCCATCCCAGCCAAAACCAGGACATTGGCACTGGTGAGGCCACACCTTGAATACTGTGTTCAGTTTTGGGCCCCTCACTACAAGAAAGACATTGAGTTGTTGGAGCATGTGCGAAGAAAGGCAATGAGGCTGGTGCAGGGTCTGGAGAACAAGTCTGATGAGGAGTGGCTGAGAGAACTGGGATTGTTCAGCCTGGAGAAAAGGAAACTCAAAAGACCTTGTTCTCTACCAGTACTGAAATCAGGCAGTAGCAAGGTCTCACAATCTGTGATAACAGTTACCTGAGATGAAACTACTTTTAATTGCAAAGGTTGTAGATTGTTCAGGTTACTTCCTTTTTCTGAAGAAGTTAAAGTCATGGATGAGGGAATACTTGATATTTTTTATCTTGTGTTAGCTACTATTACAGCAGTATACATATTACTGCACATGTACTGGGTAGAAGGTGGAATTTATTCCTAGACAGATGGAATACAGTCACATTTCAGCTGGCAGTCATGTTTAAAGGTATGTCCATGCAGTATGAGGGATTTGTCGTTTTAATCAGTTTTCTGCCCCCAAAAAACAACATACCTCCATTTCTGTTGTAATGTAGAGATCATGTGTAAGTTTTGTTGCCCAGTACCTTTACAGTCTTCACATTCCCTGTAATGCACAATCCTGGCTGGATTTGATCTGGCAGCTAAGGCAGTTACTGTCCTGTTGCTGTGGGAGACACTTCATGTACTGCAGTCCAGTCTAAGAGGTATCAGGAATCAGCCATCAGTTTTCACATTTTTACTACCCTACATTATTTAACTTCAGTGGTTTGCTATGCTATTGATTGATGAGTTATCTCCTGGGTTTTCACCTTTGAATGAAGACCTTCAGCATGGAATGACTTTGGGCAGTTGAGAAAAGTAGCCTCTTTATTGTAGCCACTAAGTCATGTAGGAATTAGGAATTAAGCCCTTTCTGCAAGGAGAATAGTTTTAAAGATCAGCTGAAGTTTAAATCATGGTGGGGACAGTTTTCACTCCTATATCAGTTAACTTTTAGAACATTTAGTAATGAAATGTTTGTATCTCCTCTCCACATGGTGAGGAAGCTTGATTGCATGGATAAGGCAATGCAAGAGCAATGTTCTTTAGAGGAGGAAAGGAATTCCTGGGGTTCAGTTGTAAATGAAATAAAAAAAACAACTAGGAATTGAGTTGAATGATTAGTGAGAGGAGTTACTGCAAACAAGACTTCCTATAAAGAAGGAAAGAGGGAGTAAAGTGCTGATTCTTCAGCACCTTCTTGTGTGAAACACTTGGGCTCATTATGATTACAGTTCATGAGTTTTCTTGCCACTGGAGTTGTTTCCCCTTTGTATTGTCTTCTATCGCCTCATCCCTCTAATCCAAATTCTGAAGAAATAAAAGTGGGACTGGTGTTTTTGCTGTCAAAGCTGTCACATTTTTCAGCCCACTGGTTATAATTGAAGTGTTTTTATTTGTGGTGTTTCAGGTGCTGCCTTTCATCTATCGTGCCATTGGTTCAAAGCATCTTCCTGGCAGTAACATCACCTTTGTTCATCTCGATTCCCATCCAGACCTTCTTATTCCTGTGAATATGCCTGCAGACACTGTATATGACAAAGAAGCTCTTTTTAGGTAAGTCCCAGATACTGCATCAGAGTTCCTCTGAGTCTAGTTCTTGCTGCATTTGATTTACACTGAATATTGGTATGACTGCATAGGAAATATGAACCAAAGAGGCATAAGTCAGGTTCAAGGTGTATCTTTTTCCTTTTCACTTACGTCTAAAACTTTTTTTAATTGGAAAAAGTTGTGTTTTGTGAATGCAGTCAAATGGTTACGTTGCGTATCAAGCAATTTAAGATGTATGAATTTCCTTTTTCAGTCGTTCAGTAGTATATCATGTTATTAGCCCAAGTTGTTCCTCTGGGTAACGGAAGATCACTCAGTGTATGCTTTGGCTGAAGAGCTGTAATTTAAAAATAGCCTTTCTTTCTTCACACTGAAAAATTGGCTTTGAAATTGAAATAATATATCCTATGTTGACATGGTGACTATGACTGAACAAGATTTTCTTGCTAAGATCATTAAGATCAGTATTTCTCCCTGACTTCTTAGGTAGGTAGGTAACAAGCCACAGAGTGATCCCTGCTATTGTGTTTCTCTGCTTCCATGTTAAGGTACTTTACAGCAATAACAAGGTGATGCTTGTAGGTACCTATGTCATCCTACCCATAGTCAAGATTTTGTTCTCTTTGTTGGATAAATAAAAAGTTTTGTGGGCTATATTGTACACCTGAAGAAAAAAAAAGGTTGTTGATAATGAGAAAAGATTAATCTATAGACACTAATTGACTCTTTTTAATTACTGAGATTATATTTAAATCTACTTAGATCAGTTTACAGTAAAATACTCTTAGGAGATCAGTTTGAAGTCACTAAGAATAGCATTGATGATTCTCCTTGCACTTTCCTCTGTTTGATGGATCAAGAGAAAAAGGACAACAAAGCTATGTAGTTTATAATCAAAGTGCCATACATGCTAAGAATGAAGCTGATTGCACTGCATAATCCTAACCTTTAAGAAATTGCTATAGACATTGTTGGTCTGTTTTATGAATAAAGATCTCCTTTTTCTTTCTTTGATGATGTGATCCTTACACAGGGTTCTAATTTCAGATAATTTGCGTGGGGGCTTTCAAGATATTGAAGATGTTTGTGGTGTTCTTGACCATGTTTTGCAGGGAAAGTAACTGTGTTGTTTCCTGTTTTTCTGCATTCATTACAGTGAATTAAGTATTGAGAACTGGATTATGCCTGCTGTTTATGCTGGCCATATTTCTCAGGTAGTTTGGCTTCACCCACCCTGGGCTCAGCAGATCTCAGAAGGAAAACACAATTTTTTAATTGGGAAAGATGTATCAACAACTACAATCAGGTAAATTCTCTGCTGATTTATACTAGCAATATAAAAGCTATCTCTATAGCTTTTCATAGGAGGTTTTTTTTTATAAATTCTTTGATAAAGATATAAATTTCATTTGTATTTGTGATCTCCTTAGGACCTAATGTGACTATTTGTGTGAATGGGCACAGTGAAGATGTGCCTTTCTTTTTTTTTTTTTAATAGGTAATTCTTTTTGTAGAAAGAATTCTAGCTATTCACATTTCATTCCAGCTACCCAGGTTTTAAATTAGGTCTCATTAAAGTAAATAAATCTCAGAAAGCAGTCATTTTTAAGAGAGGATTTGGGTAACAGAGGGCAGCAATTAGATCTTCCTCAGCCTTCCTTTATCAGGACAAAACAAGCCTAGTTCCCTCAGTTTCCAGCCTTCTAATAACCTTATGTCCTGGGTTCAGCAGTAGCAGTCATGTTTCTCCTTCGTGGTAGCTGGTGCAGTGCTGTGTTTTGACTTCCAGCCTGGGAACAGTGCTGGTGATACCGATGTTCTCAGTTGTTGCTAAGTGATGTTTACCCTGACCAAGGACTTTGTGAGGCTTATGCTCTGCCAGGGAGGAGGGGAAGCCGTGAGGAAACAGAGACTGGGCGCCTGACCCAGGCTAGCCAAAGAGGTATTCCATACCATAGCACGTCATGCCTGGGGTGGGGGGTAACTGGGAGTTACCCGGAAGGACATGGGCTTCCAGGTGGGACTCGTTTCTTGGTGAGTGGTATTGTATTCTCTTCCCTTGTTATTTTCTTTTACCATTGTTGTCGTTGGTGGTAGCGGTGGTGATTTGTGTTGTACATTGGTTGCTGGACTGTTCTTGTCTCAACTCGTGGGAGTTGCACTCATTCGATCCTCCTCCCCGTTCCTCCGGGAGCAGGGAAGGGGAGAGCCCCGGTGGGGGGGGGGGGGCCTCAATTGCTCTCAGCCCGGCACCACTCACTGTGAGTGAGTGAACAAGCTGTCTGGCTAGGGTTTAAACCATGACACCTTAGCAGCCCTTTGTTAGATTTTCATCTTATTGGTGTCTCTCTTGTCCTGGGGAACCAAACCTGGGCAGATTATTTCAAATGTGACCTCACCGTTGCTGAATAAGGGGAGAAATCTCTTCCCTTGACCTTTGCTTATACAATGAAATTCTGTGATTAGTCTTCATCACTGCAGGGGTGTACTGCTCACACATGCTCAAGTTGCTTTTTGCTGGGATTACCAGTTCCTGTTCTTCAGGTTTTCGCTTGTCTGTGCCAACCCTGTACTGCTGCATGTTATTCCTTCCCAGATGCAGGACCTTGTATGTATATTATTTTAACTTAATAAGAGGCTGTTCCTCTAGGCTCTCTGGGTCACTCAGGAGGCCAACCTGTCTTCTAGTGTATCAGCTACTCCCCAAGATTCAGTGCTTCCTATAAACTTCCTAAGAATACATTGCTGAGGGCATTAATGAAAATGTCAAAACAGTAACAATCCCTGGTAACTAGCTGTTGGCGAGACTTCAAACCATTGATTACCACCATGGATCTGTTGGTCCAGCCATTTTTTCACCCACCTTGTACTGCACCCAGTGAGTACATATCAAGGATTATAAACAGAGGATCATATGATAATAGATATTAAATACTTTTAAACATAAGGAAATTGTAATTTTTCAGTGCATCCATTGTTTTCTCTACCAGCTAAAACAGAATTATTGATGGGATATCCTTCTTGCTTTACCAATAAATCACAGAATGCCAAATTCTAACCTAACTCATAGTACAGTATAAAAATAAGATATAATTAAGTAAATGAGATCACTTCGATAAAACTGGCCTGAAATAAAAGGGGATACTGATACAAATGTTACAAAATTCATAATTACTTTTTACGCAATTGCGTAACATAGTAACATACTTAAGAAAACTGTTCTAAGACAAACTGTTTTTTACTGTTCAGGATCAAAACAGGCAGAGGAGTCACATTAGGGCTGTGTGGGAAAAAAATCATTTGGTCTGCTTTGATTCTGTACTCATATCCAGCTATATTCATCTAGTTCTTTTGATAAGTTTCCCTTCAGGGTGTGCTTACGTGGTTAAATGCACTAGGACTGACTGACCCTTGAAGTTCAGAGATTTGTGTTCAGTAAAATTATAGCAAAACACTGGACAGAAGATGAAAGACAGCTTTTATTTCATTTTCTAAATAGAACCTAAATGTACCAGTCAGGACAAAGTTTGTCATCTTTATTGTGACAAAACTGGGCATCTGGGTATTTAATGCATGTAAAGTTTTCTTTTTTTTTTTTTAGGGGATGGGAATGGGAAAAAGCAGTTCAGCTTCTGTCTGTTTAGTCTTTGATCTTGCTAGCAAAATTTTTGTTTGGTATCATCCATGATTCTATTTTTCTGGTGTGGGCTTGGGTTTTTTTTGTTTGTTTTCTTGATTTTTTTTTTTTTTGGTTTTGAAGTCAGACTACTAGTTAAGCACTGAATCATGTACACAGGCAGGTGGTGAATTCTCCATTCTTTGATAAAGTCAAAGCTCCCCTGGACTAGGCCCTGGGCAGCCTCATGTATCTTTGAAGTTAATTCTGCTTTGATCAGATGATTGACTAGAGACTTCCAGATGTCTCTTCCAGTCTTAGTCAATCTGTGATTCAAGTGCCGATCAGAGACCTGTGGGATTCGTGCAGTCCATGGCAATTTCACATGTGCCATATTCGCTGAATTATGATTTTGTACAGCTTGAACGGGCATGTACAAATAGTGTTTTTTTACCAGTGTTTTGGAATAAATCTTTTGAAGCAAGTTTAACAGAAGAAAGCAGAAAAATGCTTTGGTTTACCACCTTAAATAAAACACTAAAGCTCTACAATTCTGAATCTGAGGTCTAAAATAAACATAAATAATAAGACAAAAATAGTGCTTTCAATTACATTTAACCAGGAGAACTAGCACACATGTAGAAATACTTCATGATGGCTGCATAGATCTCCCACAGATCCTGTGGTCACCATAGCAGTCTTGAAAACAACATTTTAAGATGCCTTTTGAAGATGGTCAGGTACCTCTTCTTTAGGTTCTAGGCTTACAAAAATCATGAAGGAAGAAAGATAAAGAGTCCTCAGAAATACTAACTTCCTAAAAGTTTTGTTGGCAACAAGTGGCTGGATAGGCAATAGATATTCTCATTTTAGCAAGCTCAGGATAATCCAGCCATGAGACACTGGGGAACTAAGCTTCAAATTTCTGCTGCTTAAGAAATTATTTGTCTTTGTTTATTGATAGTGATACTTAGTAATCAAATGAGGCTTTAACACGAGTGAGCAGAAGTTCATGCTTCTTCTTAAGCTTATTTTTAAAACTGAATTTATGATGCTTGAAGCTTAATGCACTGAAATGTGGCTTGAAAATGTAGGTTCTTTCATTTTTCACTGTAAGCAGACATTTTTAACATTGCTGCTTTTGTTTGTTTGGGTGATTGTTTTTTTTTAATTAAGTGGATTCCATTGATACGTATCTATTCACTCTCAAGTTACCAGCTTCCCCCACTTAGACTATGGAATCTTATTGGTGGTAAAAAAATGTTAAGTGCTACCTATTAAATCAAAATTCATAATATTTTACTAAATCACTATCAGTGGCTTTCAGGGTACTTCTCAAACACAACTAACAGAATTTTCCTTAAAAATTAGGACCAACACAATCCAACACAAAATATCATAGCTTTGAAATGTTGTATGCTTTATATTGACAGTATCTTGTTAAATTCTGGATTGTGTCTTTAAAATGCAATTCAATGGCAAATTAATCTTAGCAGCACATAATGTAGAATCTTTTCTTTATTCATTAAAACCTTGCAGGGCTATCATAAAAAATATAGAGTGATATTTTAATATATTTATTCAGCAATAAAGAAGTAGAAGTAGAAAAACCTTCAACTTAAAAGCCTGCAGACTAAAATAAATAATTTTGTGTGCACAGTTTTATTGCTTTTGTTACCCATCAAACATCTATTTGTTCTTCTCAGTAGCCGTAAAGTGTACACGTTTTTTTTCCCAGCTCTTTGTAAAGATGTATATTAACTGTGAGGTTTTGTCAATTGTAGGGTAACAGGTACAGATAATTACTTTTTAAGTGATGGTCTTTATGTCCCTGCTGATCAGCTGGAAAACCAGAAGCCTTTGAATTTACACGTCATTCTCATCAATCCTACTGAAGCATCAAACAACTGGGAAGAAAATGGTGAAGTAGCATCTGCTAAGAGACTGAAGCTAAATACAGATGACACAGCAAGCACTGCTTCTGCCTCTTCATCAGTGGCTCCTAACCTTGATTACAGCACCACAAATGTGAAGAAAAAGGAAGTGCAAAATACAAGTGCCCTGAACAAGACAGAAACCTTAGAGTGCTCAGCTTCAAGCTCTCTCAGAAACAGTGAAAGCCCGATAAGGAATGTTGTTAAAGATGTTTGCCAAGTACTGAAGAAAGGGGATGCGTATGTTTTAGACATTGACTTAGATTTTTTTTCAGTTAAAAATCCATTCAAAGAAATGTACACACAGGTAAGCATGACAATGGGGAGGCCTCACCATTCACAAAAGAGTAGCAGTCCTAGTGTTTGTGTCTATGGGGAAACTTTCATCTAAGCTAAATTAGCAGATCAGCTAATCATGATTCTGTGATTCATGGTAATATTTGAAGGAGAGATATTCTAAGGGAGTGTATGCTGCAAGAATTACAACAGCTTAATAGGGGTAGATCCTTATATTTGAAATCGGTATCAAGTGTATATTCAAGCTCAGAGGTATACAGAATGGCTTGCTTCTGCTTGTTGCTTGGGACATAAATTATGCTTGGGTTTCCAAAGGTAATGTTCCAAATACCCACAAGGTTTATCAGAGAGTGATGACAGATTGTATGATTTTTTACCTCCTACAGCATGCTATTGGCGAGCTTCTGTGTTTCAAAAGGAATGGTGGTGTTGATTATCCAAAGAGTAATAGCTTGTCCTGATGAGAAGCTGTTAATGCTCATTTCCTTTATCTGAAGTGCTGACTATAAGGATGAGCAAGCAGCTGTTGTCTCTGATGCCATCACTTAAATCTTAAGACTCTGCATTCTATTTCATTTATAACTTGGCTGCTCAGCAAAGGTAGGTCATCTGTATAGAGTCATAAATATATAGATCCTCAAAGGAGCAAAGCAGTTTGTAGGTTTTATAGAATCATAGAGTGGTTTGGGTTGGAAAGGATCTTAAGATCATCCAGTTCCAATCCCCCTGCCATGGGCAGGGACACCTTTTACTGGACCAAGCCGTTCAAAGCCCCATCCAGCCTGGCCTTGAGCACTGCCAGGGATGGAACATACAGAACTTCCTTGGGCAGCCTGTTCTAGTGCCTCACCATCCTCACAGTAAAGAAATTCTTCCTTATATCTACCCTGACCTTCCTCTGTTGAAGTTTTCTTGATGTGAACGGGATTTTTAGGAACTAACTAATCTGCCCTGAAAGTTGGGTGTGGCATTTAGGTTTACGAATTCTTCTGCAATATCCTTAATGGTTTTAGCATTTAAATCTAGTTTTTAACATTGTTTTAACTTCAGTCTATGCTAAAGAACATACAGCATCTTTGAGTTTCAACTGGGCTACTGCTTCCTTGTTCACCAGAAAAAGAAAATACAGTTTCCCTTGACTTCTGTTAGCTTCTGACATTAAGTATTTATGACTACAGTATCTTCAGACATTGTGTAGTGCCAGTTGTTCTGAATCGCATAGAGAAGTGTATAGGGAAAGCACCATGAGGGTCTTGCCATATAAGACAGTACCCCTCTTAGGGCTTGAAATACATTCTGAATAAAATAATGGAGGAGTTTTGGGAGGAGGGTTTGGTTTGTTTTTTTTTTTAAGGGGGTGGGGGGTTTGGTTCATGTTCTTTTAGGGGGGTGGGTGTTTTGGTTCTATTGCCTTTTTTGTTTGTTTGTTTCGTGTTATGATAGTTTCCCAGTCCTAGGAGCCACTTTTGGAAGTGGACTTGCGCAGAGCACCCTGTGTATCTTTTTTATATAATGATTTCATTTGTAGTTCATATTTCTTAACTATGTTCCTCCTATTCTAAGTTGCAAAAATTCCATTCTCAAAAAATTTCCCAGGTTAACACTTGAAATGTGAGCATCCAAGGAAAAGCTAAAAACCAAATATAGTGCACCATTCCAGAAAAGTATTGTGTTCCGCACCAAAAAAAAAGACTAAAATCCAAAATGTTGTCCTAAAGATGCTTTGTATTTCTATAAATGTTGAATAGTCTACCTTTCCTTTCTACCTCTGCTCTGAAAAGTTGAGTGTTCACCTTTTTAATGCTGTTAAATAACAAGATCTGTTTATCCTTGATTAATTAAACTTGAATATGATCAAGGAGTAGGGCTGACAACCCCCTGTAATAGTTTAGGTGTGAACTTGTTGTCCAACTACCCTGAAGCCTTTACCTGTCCTGTTTTCCTTTATGACCATAACTCTCCGGTTGGTTTTGTCTGCCTAATTCTGCCATCTCAGTTTTACTCAGCATCTCATTGGGACCTTAGTTCAGCAGCATGTATGATTAATTTCAGAGATTTTTAAACTATCATATTGTAATACTTAGTTTTTAAAGTTGTGGTTTTGAAGTCAGGTTTGAAGTTAAACAATTGCAAAATGTTTAGCTGAGGCCATGAAGTATTTTTTCTCAAGCCTTACCACCTCTTCCTCACCTGCATTTATAGAGCGCTATCTGCAATACCAGAGTAGAGGAATGATCTTGGTGATCAAATTATTTTTTTTGAAGAAGGAAGGCTTTTAAGGTTTTGTTTCTTATTTGAAGAGTCTAATTTTTTGCCTCTTTTTTTCTTTTTTAAAGACAGAATATGAGCTTTTGCAAGAGTTGTACAGTTTCAAGAAGCCTCATAGAAATGCGACAGAGGTATGGTATTTCCTTGTTGGATGTTTGAGGGTATGATTCTTTTTACGTTTACCCAATAACAATGAGTTACAAGAAGGAAGGAACCTGTGAAAGGTGCTTAATGAAGTGGCCTTGATTTAAGCTATGCAGCAGGCTGAATGCTAATTAGCAGCAACTTAGGAATTCTTTCTTATTAAACATTTTGGTTAAACATGTGAATTGCAGAAATATTTAGCATGAGTGTGAAAATTAATTTCTGTAAACAAGTGGTAATTGACAAGGAAGAAATGAAAACATAGTAAGTCATTTGCAGTCTTGTTCTTTTTATGTCTCAACAGAGCATTGCTTTGGTGAGGCTTTGGTTTGGTTTTGGTGGTTTGTTTTTTTCTGTTTGTTCCTCCACCCACCTTTCCCCTTCCCTGCCCTAGTTGCTGTTCCTTGATATTCAGAGCTGTGCTCAATGTCTTAACACTGCCTAACTAGTATTTTTATAGAATCATAGCATGGTTTCATAGAATCATGGAATCTAGTTCCAACCCTTCTGCCATGGGCAGGGACACCTTTCACTAGCCCATGTTGCTCAAAGTCCCATCCAGCCTGGCCTTTTTGGTTTTTGGTTGGTGTTGGTTGGTTGGTTTGGGGCTTTTTGTGTGTTTCTTTGTTTTATTTTATTTTCAAACCTATTTATATGTGGAAAGGAAGTTGTTGCACTCTGTAATGTATTATTCGTTTTATGTGTTGTGTGCTTCTGAATCATGGAAATGTAAGTCTGCTGTAGCTGCCAAAATAGTTGTTTAGCCCTGAATTCAAATCATGGAGACAGCCATATTAATAGTCACTACACCAAGTAGTTTCTAAACAAGATCTTGTCTTTGCTTTCATAATCTCATCCTAACATTATTACGGGGAGATTCAACATGCATAATTATCACAGATAAATGAAACTTAATTAATGTGTGTATAAAGAAATTGAGATTGAGATATATGGAAGATTGTCAAATTGATTTTCACATTTCATAGTGAATCAGCAATAAACCTATTTAAAAGGTAGTTAAACATAAAAATGATAAACGTTTGTGATTTAAGTGCTGAGTATGATTTCAGGACATAAGTTATTTATAAAAACCAATAAATGTATAGGAGACAACTAAAATGGTTAGCAGTGAGTAGTGGATAGGTATAGAACTGAGCAAGTCAAGACTAGATTCATGGATGGGTTTATAGTGAGATAGTCAATTAAAGGGTTTGAAGGTAGAAAGTGTGTGAGCTTTGTGTTTTTCAAAGGTTCAGAAAATATCCTAGATATCTAGTCTCTTAAAATCTGGTTTTGTAGTTCAATGTACATTTCTGTCATACTATAAGATAATAATGTATTGTTTGGTTTTGGTTGGTCGGTTGGTTTTGCGTATTATGTACTATAGAGAGGGATCAGACATGTCTATAAGGTTAGTTACTGGTGATGTATAGAAAAGTATCTTATTCATACCCCAGAATAGGATCATAAATCTGTAGTTCATGAAGAGTTGATGCCTTCAACTATTCTTAAAGATTAGCCCCAGTTGACTGGCCAAAAGAAGCAGCATCTATTATATGATGTAGCCAGCAGACTCTGAAGAGGGAATTGTTATAGAATAGAGTCACAGAATGGTTAGGGTTGGAAAGGACCTTTAGATCATCTAGTTGCAACCCCCCTGCCATGGGCAGGGACACCTCACACTAAACCATCTCACCCAAGGCTTCATCCAACCTGGTCTTGAACACTGCCAGGGACGGGGCATTCCCAGCCTCCCTTGGCAACCTATTCCAGTGCCTCACCACCCTAACAGGACAGAATTTTCTCCTTATATCTAATCTAAACTTCCCTTGTTTAAGTTTGAACCCGTTACCCCTTGTCCTGTCCCTACAGTCCCTAATGAAGGGTCCCTCCCCAGAATCCTTGTGGGCCCCCTTCAGATACTGGAAGGCTGCTAGGAGGTGTCCACGCAGCCTTCTCTTCTCCAGGCTGAACAGCCCCAACTATCTCAGCCTATCTTCATACGGGAGGTGCTCCAGCCCCTGATCATCCTCGTGGCCCTCCTCTGGACTTGTTCCAACAGTTCCATGTCCTTTTTATGTTGAGGACACCAGAACTGCACACAATACTCCAAGTGAGGTCTCACGAGAGCAGAGTAGAGGGGCAGGATCACCTCCTTCGACCTGCTGGTCACGCTCCTTTTGATGCAGCCCAGGATACAGTTGGCTTTCTGGGCTGTGAGGACACACTGCCAGCTCATGTTCATTTTCTCATCGACCAGCACCCCCAAGTCCTTCTCCGCAGGGCTGTTCTCAATCTCTTCTCTGCCCAGTCTGTAGCTGTGCCTGGGATTGCCCCGACCCAGGTGTAGGACCTTGCACTTGGCATGGTTAAACTTCATGAGGTTGACATCAGCCCACCTCACAAGCATGTCAAGGTCCCTCTGGACGACATTCCTTCCCTCCAGCATATCAACCGAACCACACAGCTTGGTGTCATCGGCAAACTTGCTGAGGGTGCACCAAATCGCACTGTCCAGGTCACTGACAAAGATGTTGAACAGGACTGGTCCCAACAACAATCCCTGAGGGACGCCACTCATTACTGGTCTCCAGCTGGACATTGAGTCATTGACCACAGTCTTGCGTGCTGCCCTCCAGCCAGTTCTTTATCCACCAAGTGGTCCATCCATCAAATTGATGTCGCTTCAATTTAGAGACAAGGATGTCGTGTGGGACAGTGTCGAACACTATACACAAGTCCAGGTAGATGACATCAACTGCTCTACCCCTGTCCATCAGTTCCGTAGCCCCATCATAGAAGGCCACCAAATTGGTCAGGCAGGATTTCCCCTTAGTGAAGCCATGCTGGCTGTCACCAAGCACCTTGATGATTTTCATGTGCCTTAGCATGCCATCTAGGAGAATCTGCTCCAAGATTTTGCCAGGCACAGAGGTGAGACTGACTGGTCTATAATTCCCTGGGTCATCAATTTTCCCCTTCTTGAAAATGGGGGTTATATTTCCCTTTTTCCTGTCATTGGGAACTTCACCTGACTGCCATGATTTTTCAAATATGATTCACAGTGGCTTAGCAACTTCCATTTGCCAGCTCTTTCAGGACCCTCGGATGGATTTCATCAGGTCCCATGGATTTGTGGACATTCAGATTTTTAAGATGGTCTCGAACCAGTTCCTCTCCTACAGTGGGCCCAAGGTCTTCATTCTCACAGTCCGTGCGTCTACCTTCCAAGACTTGGGTGGTTTGGTCAGAGCATTTGCCAGTGAAGACCAAGGCAAAGAAGTCATTCAGAACCTCAGCCTTCTCCAAATCCTGTGTAGCCAGTTCTCCCGAGAGCTTCCTGAGGGGGCCTACATTCTCCCTTGTCTGTTTTTTATTTGCTATGTACCTGTAGAATCCCTTCCTGTTATCCTTAACATCCCTAGCCAAGTTTAATTCTAACTGGGCCTTGGCTTTCCGAACCTGGTCCCTAGCTTCCCAGACAACATTCCTGTACTCTTCCCATGCCAGCTGTCCTTGCTTCCACATTTTATAAGCCTCCTTTTTCATTTGAATTTTCCTCAGCAGCTCCTTATCCATCCAAGGAGGTCTCCTGGCCCTCCTGCTGCACTTCCTTCTGGTTGGGATGCAGCACTCCTGAGCTTGTAGCAGGTGATCCTTGAATATCAACCAAGAGTCTTGGGTCCCCCTGCCCTCTAGGGCTGTATCCCATGGAACCTTACTAAGCAGGTTCCTGAAGAGGCCAAAGTCTGCTCTTTTGAAGTCCAGCACAGTGAGCTTGCTGCACGCTCTTCTCACTGTCCTGAAGATGTCGTATTTGACCATCTCATGATCGCTACATCCAAGGCTGCCCTGGAGTGTCACATTTCCAACGAGCCCTTCCCTGTTGGTGAGCACGAGGTCAGGCATGGCACCTCTCCTTGCCGGCTCCTCTATTACTTGCCGAAGGAAGTTGTCAATCGAGGAACCTCCTGGATTGCTTGTGCCGGGCCGTACCCTCCTTCCAACAGATATCAGGGTGGTTGAAGTCTCCCATGAGAACAAGGGCCTGTGAGCGTGAGGCTTTTCCTATCTGTCTGTAGAGTGCTTCATCCGCAGGTTCTCCTTGATCAGGTGGTCTGTAACAGATCCCCACAGTAATGTCCTCCATTGCTGTCCTCCCTTTAACCCTGACCCACAAACTCTCTGTTGACTGCTCACCTGTCCCCAGACAGAGTTCCATACTCTCCAGCCTATCCCTAACATAAAGGGCAACTCCCCCTCCCTGCCTGCCGGACCTGTCTTTCCTAAGGAGCCTGTAATCTTCCATTCCAACACTCCAGTCATAGGAGCCATCCCACCACGTTTCTGCGATGCCTATTAAATCATACCCCCGTAGACGTGCAAACATCTCCAGTTCCTCTTGTTTGTTTCTCATGCTGTGAGTGTTTGTATAGAGGCATCTGAGCTGAGCTCCAAATGAAGCCGGCTCATTGGCTGGAGCGGCTGGGATATCTCTACATTGCTCTGAGCATTTATTGTATGTGCTGGCAACTGGCTGGGTGTGTTGGGATGGAATGATGCCCTCCTCCCCCAACACATCTAGTTTAAAGCCTCCTTGACCAGTCTGGCAAGCCTCCTGCCAAAACTGCTCTTTCCCTCAGACGAGCTCCACCACCCCCCAGTAGCCCTGGCCTACAAACTTGGGTCCCGTGTTCAAGACAGCCAAACCCCTGACTATGGCACAACCCTTTTAACCATTTATTAACCTGAGCAATCCTCCTAGCCTTTTTAGGTCCTCCCCTGTATCCTGGAGAATTGACTAAAAGTCTATCTGAGCTCCAGAGCCCCTAACCACCTCTCCCAGGGCTCTGTAGTCCTTCTTTATGTTCTCCAGGCTACTACCATCTATATCCCTAGCACCCACATGTATCACCAGAAGTGGGTAATAGTCAGTGGGACTTACTAGAGCAGGCAGCCTCTGTGCAACATCCCTCATCCATGCCCCTGGTAGGCATCACACCTCCCTTGAGACGGGGTCAGGCCGACAGAAGGGTGCCTTTGTTCCTTTCAAAGTAGAGTCCCCTACTACTACGACCCACTGCTTTTTCCTGGCAGCACCAGTAGAGATCTTCTTTACCAGTGCATCAGTCAGTTGTTTCTGGTGGGAGTGAGTTTCCTCATTAGCCCCCTGCAGGATAGCAGAGTGGTTTTGCCTGGGGACAACAGATTTAGGAGGAAGCCCCTTGCTTTTAATAGTCCTCTTCCTCCTTTTTTTGTTGTGTTTTTTTTTTTGTCACTAATTCCCAGCTTCCTGTGTTAACGGCCTCCTTCTTTCCTCCATGAGCTAGAGGGGACGCTTGAGGCCCCTGCACAGTTTGGGCCAGGTGCAAGCATTCCTGCTTCCTCTCAGCTTCCCTGACATCTCGCAGCCTATTGACAGCATCCCGCAGCTCAGCCCCTGCTGCAGGAGGACCTCCACCAGGGAGCCCCGAGTGCAGCCCTGCCCATTGTGCACCCTCCCCTCACCAGACCAGTGCAGGCACCCTCTATACCCTGAGCTCTGCACTGCAGCCTCCCCTCTCATCGGCTCTGTCTGGGTGCCTACGCTGGCCACCGCCGGGGCAACCAGAGCAGAGCTCCCAGACCGGGACCCAGTCATATGACGAGTGCTCACCATCCCGCTCGCCTGCCCGCACAAACTGCCTCGACCCACTCTGTTCACCGCACTCCCTCTACTGTTCTATTCCAGTGTGCTCTTTAATAATTTTTACACCCTGATACATTTTTTTATACCAAATGCTAAGTATTGCTTTTCATTTGATGTTATATAGGATCTTTTTCTGCAAATGTTTGCATATACAACTGTATTCATGTATGTAGCTTCACTTCAAGAAGAATGTCTCTTTATGTGTTCTGAACTTTTTAAGGGCATAAACCTTTGCAGAATCAGAGCAATAACTGACATTAATATAATTCCATGTATTTTCAGGCACACAGAGCTGATACAACCTCAAAGCATCAAATAATTTGTTTTGTTGTGTTTTCCTTTTTTTTCCCTGAAAATGCTTTTTATTTAGTAATAGTCTTCTTTTTTTTTACCTAAAAAATTAAATTCTCCTTTCATTAGAAAAATGTAAAGGTTGTACTCATCTGAGCATTTAAGTGCTATAGAAACAAATTCAGTAATTACTTGTATACAGTTTCTTAGCTCTCTGTTGTATTCTTCCAGAATTTAGCTGTGGCTTTTTATTGGGGTTTTTTATTTATTTATTTTTGTGGGAAAGACAGAGCCAATGCAGGTGTTTAATTCTGAAGGTTATGAAGGCTTCTTCAGGTATTTGTTCTTATTCACTTGAAAAGATGTTCTGTAGTAATGAATCAGTTTTTTCTGATGCCCTACTTCCAGTAGATCAGTAATTTCAGAATTTAAATCATAGGGTAAGCCATGACATTCTTACCTCTTTTTTTCCTAACATACTTTTATATGTGCTTACATAAAGGAGGGCTTGCTGGATTGTGTTGAAAACCGTGTTCATCAGCTAGAAGATCTGGAAGCAGCATTTGCAGATTTGTGTGACAGTGATGATGAAGAAACCGTACAGAAGTGGGCTTCATATCCTGGGTAAGAGATTTCTAAATGTCTTAAAATCTAAACAGTACTTTGGGAACTGAATTTTTTCCCACCACTTTGCTAACAGAAAAGGAGAGAGGCTGGATAGGATCTATGCAAGGCTACCATTTTTCCTTTAGAGGAGAGTCAAAACAAAAGAAAAAGCAGTCTGTTGTCTTCAGTGTCATGGTAAGCTTTCCAAGATCAGCCTTGTAAAGCTTCATGCAAGTTCTGTTGCCTGTGGAGGGAGGCATGTTTGGTGACTAAAAATTTAGTGATTTGTGTGAAGCAGAGCTCTCAAAAAAGCACCAAACTATGGAGGCTATAGTGAAAGACTTCAACGGGATTCACAAAGGTTCTGCTTTCTTTGGAAAAATGTAAGTGGATGAAAGGCTGCACCTGAGTGACAGTGTTCACAGAGTGTCTCAGAAGCATCCAACATGCTTTTAAACTAAGTATTTTCAATTTAAAAGAAACAACAAAAGTCCGAGCTTTCCGTTCATAGGAAAATCACACATTTTCCCCATCAAATGCAGCTGTTACTGCCAGACCTGTGTTACAGTGACCGCAAGCATTTTGTATCAAGTTCATGTGACTTGTGAGTTACAACAGCTTCTCTGCAGGTCTGTGTTAAAAGAAGTACAAAGAGGCCTTGCCAGAGGCAGTTATGAATATAAGGGCTTTCAGAAAAAAAAAACCAAAACTGGTGAGACATTACAATAGTACTGATAATTTTCGTTTTTCTCAGGTGCCAGATGACAGAGGGGCAAAGTTCATTTTCATATCCTAAGCCAAATCCTTTCTTCCTTTTTTTTTTTCATCCCTCTCTTTTACACTTAAGGTAATTATATGTCTCCAGCTGTTTCTCTAAGAAGTTTTGGTTTTGTTTTAACTCCAGAATGAAGCCACTTGTTCAACTAGTTCACAGTTTGAAAACCAGGATGGAAAGCCCAGACTATGAAATGGTAGGTGACTAGGTAAAAGACCAGAAAGTAGACACATTTCAAAAGTGTAGCTTCAAAAGGGAGGGAAAAGATCATGCTTCATGTAAAGCTTGCTTTTTGATTCATTTTCACATTGAATTTGTGAGATTTTGGTAGTTTTCCTTTTTTTATACGTCTTGTTACTTAGGCCAGCTTTTCTATTTCAGGCTTCTAAAATTCTAGTATTCTTGTTTATATTTAGAGGACATTAATGTGATCTCTCAGGACTGTGACATCTCAGACTGCTTCCTGTGAAGATGATTTCATTTTACCAGAGTGTGTTGATATACCTTATAGAACTTAAGTTACCTGTTTGTAAAAGATCAGACCTGTCAGTTTCAAGGACTGCAGCGTACTCTGAATGCGTAGGAGAAGTCCAGTGTACTGAAGATAATGAAGCAATCAATATAACCTCTGAATTTTATTCTTTTTCTTTAAAGAACAGGTTGGGGAAAAAAAACAGCTCTTATTGCCTGGAGAGTAAGTTACCTACTAGGCTAGGGATGTTATTTTAGAGGCTTTCTGCACACATAAGCTACATCAGTAATTCATCATCAGAAATTGGATCTCTGTTTAATTTACATGTAGGTTCATCAGGCTGGTCTGACCTGTGATTATATGGAGCTTCCTCACCATGTTAGCACTGAAGAGGAGATCGAAGGCCTCATAAAATCCATTAAAGTTCTGCTAAAAGATATGCCGAAGCCCACGCTTGTGACAATTGCTCGGTAAGACTATATAGACACTTCTACTTTAAAACTCTCAGACTGTGCTTACATAGCTAAATGATTTTAGCAATATAGCAATGGTTGGCACGTCTTATATTCTGTCTTAAAATGTAAACCTTACAGTGTAGTGAAAATTAATATCTGATAAAGTTGTCAATTTGACATAAAGCATTGACAGTATATGCACAGCTAAGGGAAGGTTCTGTTCTGACAGCCAATTTTACTGGGATTTAGAATAGCTAGCACAGATTGCAGAAGCAGTAAAAACATATGATGACTTAATCAGCTTCAACACAGGCTGTACAAAGCCTGTGATGAGGCCTTGAGTGTGCTGAGATTGGTAGCTGTCGCTGAGGTTCATACTTCTCCACTACTTGTATTGTGCTAGTTAGAGCAAAGCTAGCTTGGGCAAGCTTGCATGGGTTGAAATCACACATTCTTTTTTCTATTGCTTGAGGGCTTACTGTACTAGAGATAGGTTTTTTGGTTTTGCCAAAATTTCTAATGGAAGTGGCTTTCATCTGTTAGGCTGAAAGAAATTTATATTCTAGAAAGCTCTAGTAAAGCTTTATGTGGGGTAAAAGTTTTGCTTTTATTTGGGAGAAAAGGATGGAGTTTGAGGCCAGGGACCTGGGATAACTAGGGATCTGTCCTGGGAAAACTTAATTTGAAGACAACAGTGTATCTGCTAACAAATTGTTGTAATTTAATCACTTAAAAAATAGTAAGTGTGCCCTTAAAGGAAAGTCAGCAATAGCAGAAGCTGACATGAAATTGTTCTTGTCAACAAGATTTAATATGACTAACACCTGCAATAAAAGAAAGCTGTATTTCCTGTGCCGGCTGCATGGTTATCATCCACTCTTGCAGGGAAAGCAGAATCATTTATGTAGGTCTTGACAGACATAAAACCCAAGAAATGTCAGCTCTGTTTTTTTGCTGTTTGCAGTTCATTAATAGATACTGTAAATAATGTTATATCCCAAGGATTGTGAAGATTTTTTTTTCCAAGTTTTCCTACCTATTTTGCTAATAGCATTTGAATTTTTTGATCTTAACTTTTCACCAGTCCTTTAATACATCATTTGCTTTAACTTTGACTGCCAGCATGTTCTGTGTCGGAGTGAGGAAGAGAGTAGAGTTGGAAGGATGAATAAGTCACATTCCTGCTCTGCCACAGACTTTATATTAAACTTGCAAATGGTTACCACTGAAAGTATTGAGGAGGAGCTCTATGCTTTGAAGGGATACTGCAAGGCAGAACTCATCACAGTTTGAAAGTAGCTTCAGCTTTGATGAAGAACATTAGAAGAATACAAAATGTGGTCATGGTGGTGATACCTGTACTCATGCTTTTTTCAATTCCTTGTTACAGATCAAGTTTGGATGACTATTGCCCTTCAGAGCAGGTTGACATCATTCAAGAGAAGGTTCTCGATTTACTGGGTTCAGTGTATGGCACTCTTGATGTGCACTTAGATTACTCAAGCATCTCATCTTCTGTGTGACTTTTCTTCATGTATTGCCCTCTAATGCAATGGATTAATTTAAATTGCATATTACCTGTGGTTGCAAGTGGGAAAATGCTGTTATTTCAGCAGGTGGCACTAGAACCCAAGCTGACCCAGAGCCAGGTTTGAGTCAGATTGCTTTTTCCAAGTTAGCTGCATCTGAACTGGCTCTGTTCAGATTAGTTCTGTGGTTATTATTTTTACTGTCTTGCTTCTATAAACTGGTTCAAGAGAAACTGGTTTTGTCCATAAAATGTATTTTGTCACCTGATTTCCTTAAGTGTCTGTAAAAAAAAAAAAAATTATTATATATAACTTAAAATAATTTATTTTCTGTAATTAAACTTTTTTGATGGAGTTTGGTAACAGACATGTTCCTGCCGCACTGTACCTTTTAAAACATTACCTCAATAATGCCATAAGACATTAGGTTTGCGTAGCGATACTTCTTAACTGCTGTGCCTGAGATGATCAGGCATCCGCCTCTCATTTTTCTAGAGCAGCTTATGGCTTCTGCCCCTTCTATAGCATTTCATTTGTATTTATACTCTGTTGCATTAATATTGTCTTATTTTGCCTTAGAGGATTCCTTTGGTGACTAATATAATGTACAGATACGGGTTTGGTATTTTCATTTTTGCATATTTTTGAGGGTAAAAAATATGAGTGGAAGTGAATGCTGTTATCTGTTGAATCCTGTAAGAAGTTAAATTGATGGTTACTTCAGAAACAAAGATTTAGCTTTACTGAAGTCAGCAGTAAAACCTTCTGTAGCAGGTTCTAGAGAAAACTGCCACTTGCAGAGAGAGAACAAAACCATACAGGATTTATTCGGGAATGATACTAAAATGGGAAAGACAAAATACCGCCTAAATTATTGTCTTCTATTATGAATAAATTTTGCTTGTAATTTCTTCTGATGTAGTTAAGTTCATTTGCTAATAGAGATTTTGTGCACTTTTACATTTTTTTTAAACTTTTGCTGTAGATATGACAATATTATAGATTGTAAATATATAATTATTTTAAAACATTTCTCCCAGTAGAATAAATTCCATGACCATGGACCCATTTTCTTTGTGCTTACGTATTCGTACCAAGGCATGGCTAGCCTTGGATCCAAGATCCTTAATACTTCATTAATAGGCATACACTGCATACAGAAACTAAGTGGAGTCAGATCACATACTGCTTGTGTACATTTTGTTTCTTTAAAGTAAAAGATGCTCTTTGCTGGAGTTTGAGTAGGGTTATAGAAAACCAAAAAAACACTGTTGGATCAAAGGTGTGAGGTGTACTCCTACGCTGCAGAGAATCTCAAAGCCAGGCTGGATGGGGCTTTGGGCAACCTGCTCTAGTGAAAGGTGTCCCTGCCCATGACAGGAGAGTTGGAATTGGATGAGATTTTTAAGGTCTCTTCCAACCCATACCATTCTGTGATTCTATGAATTATGTTAGCCCCATAAAGAGGAGAGTGCAGGGTCTGATGGCACAATTCTGCCTGGCTAACCGATACCCTATTCCATGTCACAAACCAGAGTACCTGCAGCACATCAGCATGTATCGGGTGCAGGTGCCCAAGTGCTGTCAGCACCAGCAGCAGTGAGGCGCTGCCCAGGCATCCCGTGTGCGGAGCAGACAGTGCTGCCTGGTGCCAGACACAGCCGGTCCTACGGCTCCAAAGGCCCCACCGCAGGGCAGAGCTGAGCCCCTCAGCCACGGGCACCTTGGGGAAAAGCCTGGGTAAGGAAGGGCAAACGGTGCCCGGCAGCCAGGGCTGAGGGATCCAACTGGGAGATCCCCTAGCATGGATTGAGCTGCATTCCCTGCCTGTGTGTCTCTGCTCGCATGCTACTGCGGGAATCCTCTGGTTGGCAAGGTAATGAAAATAAATTTACTCTGCTTTTCATCTGTGGCTTTGTCGTTCTGGACCCATACACACAGGTTCACTATGGTTCTGTAGAATTAAAGGAGCAACATGAATTGTCTATGTGTTAGCCAAATTATTTAAGAAATCTTCCTTTCAGGCACAGCTTTTGTTCATGAATGTTGAATTAGTATCATTTGAAATCTATGACTAACGCACGGTGTGCAGTATTTTCCAGAAAATGTCAGTCTTAGATAATTACAAAGATATTAATTCCTACAGTTCAAGGACATTTGCAGGGTCGTTTTTCACCTTGGCAAAGGTAATAAACCAGAAACAGGTATCTCTGTTTATTGATTATGCTGGATAGGGTTTATTTATTTGACTGCATATACAGATCCTCCGTTACCTGTGCCTACATCAATTTCCTCTCAGCTTATTTCAATACCTATTATGCAGAGCAAGATAGCAAAACTGTTAAGTTAACACCTCTAATCAGTGCTGTAAGGATGGGACGTGAAGGCCCATTAGAAATAAACACGCTATAGGGATGCTGGGGAGGGACTCTTCATTAGGGACTGTAGTGATAGGACAAGAGGTAACGGGTTAAAACTTAAACAGGGGAAGTTTAGCTTGGATATAAGGAGGAAATTCGTTCCTGTTAGGGTGGTGAGGCATTGGAATAGGTTGCCCAGGGAGGTTGTGAATGCTCCATCCCTGGCGGTGTTCAAGACGAGGTGATACAGTTTAGTGTGAGGTGTCCCTGCCCATGGCAGGGGGGGTTGGAAGTAGATGATCTTAAGGTCCTTTCCAACCGTAACGATTCTATGATTCTATGATATTGGCGCAGCAGTGAGACAGCAGCTTTGCATTGTTGCTTGTAGCTGGATGTCCCTGTCAGTTCTCCTTCCTGCAGCAGTGCTGGAGAATGAGGATGCCCACTTTGGAGGGCATTTAGAAATATTCCTCAGCAGCAGAGGTATGCAGAGCTATCTGAATTGTGGCTCAGGTTCCGAGATGGACCATCAGCCTGAGGATCTTGGTACAAACTGAAACTATCATGCATTTGTGTGCAATATGAAATAATGTCTTGATCGAGATACATACTGAGGAGCTACTATCTTCCCTGTGCATCACCAGCTCTCCACCCCAGCCGCACTGGAGTTTTCCTGCTTGTCACAGTGGAATGAAAAGAGGTTTTTTTCTCAGGAAAAATGGACAGGGATGAGCCAGATGACTGAGTTACTGCACCTTCTGTTATCATTTCTTTCCCTTATTGTAGGCTTCCTGTCTCTGGTAGCTCTGTCTTCCCCTGCACTAGGAGTTGAGCTCTCTAGTCAGGGACAGAGCTGGAATGTGGGGTTGAAGAGTCAGCTGCATAAACATTTTCCTTCTGCTGCTGTTATTGAGGAAGAAAATTGTGCTTCAGCAAGGTCAATCTAGTGGGAAGAGACCTGTTTCTAGGAGACCCAGAATAAGGGTCTTGTCTCCTTACGCCTCCAGACGGCTTTGCCTGTGATAGCCCCTTCCGGCCTGCCTGATCTGGTTCCCATAAGTGCCGCAAACCTTTTATGTGTCCTATCCACTCTCAGGAGGGAAGACAAAAGAGTTTTCTGCTGGCAGCTTTCAGTGTCTGTCGCAGGAAGAACTCTGTCCCCACAGCAGAGATGCAGTTCCCATGTCCTAGTGCAGATAGGAAGTCACGGACCCAGCAAGCCAAATCCCAGCTCCTGCCTTGACACTGACCTCCTCCCTCACCCTCATCAGCTTGAGATCTGTCTCAGGAGAGAGGCAGTCTGGCCACATACACAGTGAGCACAGGTAGACATCCTGACACCATTGCAAAGGCAAATTAATTCTTTGCCTTTCTTTCAGTCTGTGAGCCCCTGGCTGCCCCACTTCTCTGTCACAAGCACAGCTCATGAAGGTCCTGGATCTCTCTGCCAGTGCTCAGCCTTATAGCAGTTCCCACCTCCATCCTCTCTAAGATAAGGGAACTCTCTTCTGCAAGGAAAAGCTACTGTTAACTATCTCCCCAAACATTCAAGAAACGGCTTTGGTCTGAATTTTCATCTAGTTCTGTTTTGGGTGTTTTCACAGATTAATTTCAATTCACTTTGAACATACATAATTTCAAATATTTGGGATATTTAGTCCTCTCAAGGAAGGAGCCACCTCACTGGAGAGATGCAATCATTCCAACCTTCCCTCGCTAAATGCTAGTTATGTATTTTCAGCAGTTTCCATAAATGTCCAAATGGTTTTGCACATCTGCCACGGAGACCTGCACTGTCTACTAGGGAGCTTTCCTATGGCATTGCTTCCCTTTAGCTGAATCGTTAGCCTATAATTTTACTCAAGGCCCTTGGCAAAACAAAGAAAAATAATATTACGTTTGTGTTTGGTTTCCACTATGTTACAGAATGGGGTCCATTATGTGCAAACTTAGGGCTGAACCTCCTAAACCAGGCCTAACACATGCCCATCCCTCACCTGCTCTAATTGATATTAAGTCTTAGATTTATTCTATCAGTGTCAGGCAAGAAACATCTCACAGCAGTGTTACTAGTATAAAGTTGAGATAATGTGCTGACTGTCACTGTACTATGTTCTGTTCCCATGTTTATGTCCTTTGTACTCTGCTTGCTGCCCAGCATCTCTTCCACCTATTATTATTATTGCTATAAACATGTTTGGGAAAACACAGATTTAACAGTACTCCAGGGTGCATGAAAGCTTTCTGGAACGCTGCCCCACACAAGGTGATCCTTCCCTGCTGCTTGATTTCAGTGAGCTCTGAAAGCTAATGTCCAAAGTAATTAAAATGCCTTGAATTGATGCATTGATCACTTCAATGCTTCAGAACCTGCCTTGGGGCTTTCTTTTTACTTCAGCTGTATTTACCTTTTCACTTAAGGTAGTACAGGTCACCAGCTACCCAATTCCAGTTAACATTGAATTTCTGCTATCATCTGTGTAATTCCAACTGCCCAAAATCGAATGCCTCCTTGCTTCTAGCAGCCTATTGTTCTCTGAGCCCCTTTCTCCCTTGCCTTCAGGCTAGCCATTAAACTGGGAGGTGGCTGGTCCTTCTCAGTCAGTACACAGGGCTAATTCTTCATGTAAAAGCAACTCTGTTATGATAAATCTCTGTCCTTCCTCACACCCTGAACATGGTAAAAGAAAAGACAACTTTTTTTTTTTTTTAAGTATGACATTTTGCAAATCCTGTAGCTAAAACCAGATCTTGGGTGGATTCTGCTTCCATGCCTCTAAGCGCTATTTCATTTCAAGTAGATAGGAGACTGCTCTCAATTAGCTCATTAAAACTCCTCAGAAGCGCAAATCAACACTAGGGCATTAGTGACTTCTGTTTCCCAAGTAGTCCAAAAGTTTAAATGCAGGCAACAATATCACGTCAGAGATTCACCTACAGGATTTTTTGTTTCCTTATTTACAAATTGCAAGAAGAACAGAAATATGTTTGTAAAATATATATCATATGCTACAGTTTTTATAGGGTGCTTGGCACCAAAAGAAGCAAATTCCTCAGTCTCTATAAAAGACATACTGTTCTTTGATAAAATGAAATCTGTGAGTCAAAATTCCTGCCTTTGAAGAGGATGCTCTTCCTTCTTTTCTAACAAGTCACTTCATGTATCATTAGACAGTCCAGAAGAATAGAAGAAGTTCCTTTTTTTTCCTTTGTAGCTCAGATTTCAAGGAGGCAAGCAATCCCAGCAACAAAACCTCTGTTCCTTCCCCTCTCACCTGCTCATCTTTTTTTTGCTTCCTTCGCATTGGTTCTCTTCTCTTTTTTTCTAAGCCTTTAATTCAGTTGATATTTTATGACTCTAGAGAAGTCATTCATGACTTACTCTGCAAAACATCTTTTTTATTTGTCTGCCTTTGTATTAATCAGTTATAAAGCTTCTTTCATTCAATTCACGCAAGAGGAGAAGTTGCTCCTACTGCCTTGAATTTCCAGGCTCTTTCTTTTGCCTGGGTTCTTTGTTACTGGAGGAAAGGCTGGTGTGCTGCAGCTGAGAGCTGTGTC